GCAATTTGTCTCACTGACCAGCTTTCTCTTCCCTGCCAAAACGAGTGGCGCCATCCTTGTGTGCTAGATGCTACAGGCAATTTTGTACCAGCAGTCTAACGTGGGCTTCTGGTCTCCTTATACCTGGGAGGAGCAAAGGGAAGCAAATGTCGGGCGCTGTCTGTGCGTCTCCGGACAGGGAAACGTTGAGGCGCAGACTGCACCTTCTCCAGATCGCCGCAGGCATGCCGCAGTAACGCACAAAAGGGTTACGCTCCCGAGGGAACGTAGTGCAACAGGGTGCAATGGCCTCCAGGGGGAACCAGTTGCATAGGCAATAGGCTCCCAGGCAAACTGAAATGCCCGCCGGCGTGTGTATCTGCCAGCCTTCCGGGGAGGACGCGAGTCAGTACCACTTACGAGTGTATCTTCCCAGGTGAGCCCATGGGATCTGCTTTCCATGGCATGTTGCCACTACGCTTCTAACCTATGTACAGTGCTTGCCATGTTCCTCCAGCCATGCTCTGGCAGGCCTGCCTCCCCCGCGACACCATCAGAACACGTCCATCTTTCTTTCCACTCCGGCGCTGCCCGTGCAACTCTAGCCATGGACCCCACTCCATGGCCCTCCTTTGTCATTGCTCTTTGCTTCCTAATCTTTAATCAAAATTCCACTATAAACTGCTAAGCGCAAGCACCTTACTTTTTTATTTGTGTCCTATAATAGAACAAGCAGGTGCTCCAGTGCACGTGAAGAACAGATATAGTCATCAACCACCATTAAGTAAACACCACTGAATTTTGTTTCTCCTGAGAATCATTAAGGTGGGCAGCACCCAGCCCTCTCTTTCCTGGAGGCGGAAAAACACCTCAGCCAGATTCCCATGGAATAGCCCAACATTGTAGCAATAGCTGACCCTAATTGGCACAATCAACACGAAGTTGTGATTTGATTTATTAAGTTGAATATCACACGAACCACAGCCCTATTTTTTCACCCTATAAACCTACGGACCATCCAAAAATATTTAAAAACTCAATTTCCCTTCTTTCTAAGTGTGTTTCAAATTCAAAAAACCAGTCACCCTTCCTTCACACCCTGCTGGAGCCTGGTGTGTCAGCGCTTCCGCCCAGCCTACACAGCTTTATTCAGCAGCGGTGCAATGCTATCTTTTAACAGTTCTTTATTTAATACTTCTTATTGTTCTCACAGCCCTTTCTCTCAGCACTCAGGAGTTTCCAGAATCAGCTTCATCAATCCCGGGGGCACTCACCAGACCCAGGCGGTTTTTTCATCTCTGCACCGTGTGGACCAGAGATGGACACGGTGTCCGGTGTATCCAACACGCAGTGGTCAAAATGGGACGGAGTCAAGGATTAGGAGCCCTTGCCCAAGGTCACCACGGTCACCCAAGAGGTGAACTCCACCCGCAAATAGACTCCACCTCGTCCGATCGTCCACGCGGCAGCCCCGTCAACCATTCGGCCAGTCTGGGCAGCTCACATCGCTCACACCCCACAGACACCCTGGGACGAGGAGTCTCCAAGATGCATGAAGACTTGAGTCAGGAGCAACACACTCGCCTGCAAGTGTGAAGCTGCCCACCAGGTGGGGGGGGCTGAGGGGCTGGTGCGGTGGCCACCGGGTTGACTGCCCGCCAGCTCCTCCATGCGCCTCCCTGGAGAGGCTGTTGCGGAGCCAGGTCAAAGAAAGAACGTAGACTCCTCTCTCCCCTGCTCCAAACCCCCGGAAGAGAGAATTTTTAATGAGTCAGAAGGAGGCAATGACCACCCCTTCCTCCAAGTATCCCCATCACTTAGGCTGACAGGCACTGAAATTCCCATGGACAGTGGCTCCGTTCCCTCCATTTGTGCTCTAATAGGCTCCGGTGGTTCCAATGCACACTCCGTTTGAAGACACTTGAATCAGAACATTCAACCGTCTGAAAGAAGCTAGTAGAATCCAAACAGGTTAAAGCACTTTCAAAGAAATGAGTTACGAGATGGTTTAAAGCCACTCCCCACCCCTTCCCCTAAAAGCTACAAATCACGATCTTGCACAGCACTTGTAGATAATCTGAAAAACCTAGAAGCAAGCACTTTTCAATTTTTTTGCCTCTGAAACTACAAGGGCAAAACTACTGCAGACATTGCATCCAAAATGATGCTAGCTTTGGAAGTTTGGTCTTGACACTTGTCAGTTTAAAGCTGTGGCTCACATTCATAAGCCGAGAGCCCTAGCAATACTGATTCTACAGTTTCTCCCATGCAGCCACAAAAAAGCAAGGCAGGAGAAATTCTCCAATCCGCCTTCTAATGTTACGACAGACCTAAACGACAAGTCCACGCCTACTGATTAACTCAGTCAGTCAAGAGTTTAAAGTGTAAGTATTATTTATCCATCTTTCCATTTCTGGTCTCAAAGCGTTTGTAATCTGGGACCGGCTGTTCAACATGTGATGGCAATAATCGCCAAAATCGAAAGAGCAAGTGGTGTGGATCGCACACACACGCAGTTATGGACGACACAATTGTCTACCTAAATGTTGGTTTTCTCCAAGCTAGGCCTCCTTCCCTCGCCCAATGTGGTTTGCCCATTCAGATAGGCCCAACTGAAATGCAGTTTGGCAGCAGGATACAAAGCGATGGAAAAAGTGACGCAACAAAATGGACGTGCCATCGTTCTCTCCTCCTAATGACGGCCTGTCCAAGACATGCCCATTTTGTTCAAGACTCCTGCCCTCCCCACACATCCCCAGTCATCAGCCGTCAGCCCCCGTCTTCTCCTCCCCACCTCACTTTCAGACGCTCCTTCCTCCTTCTCCTCCAACATCGCTCACGCCGTTCCTCATCTCCCCTTCCGACCTGGCTCTAGACCCCATCGGTCCGCTCCATCGACTCTATCTGAAACTTCATCCCGCACCTGCTCGCATGCGTGTCTAGACTGTGACAGGACACAGGTTGCCCCTGGTGTCATAGACTGTGCGCACAGGCAAAGGTTGATGGACCAGCTCCGCTCAGGCCAGAGCCTTTCCAAGGCAGCTTGGGACATTCCTGCTCCATGGTTAGGACCTCACCGCATCTCGCTCACCACACACGCCCCGCTTATCCACAAAGGACCTTTGCTTCAGCTGTATACATCAGCTGAATAGACAACCACGAGAATCCCACTTAGTAGGAAAAACTAATATATTCCTGGCTTAAACAAATTATAAAATAAAGGGACAAAAGATCCAACAATAGAGCTAATTGGTTACAGAATCAGAACCTAAGCAGACCATCCATAGCCTTACTTTTGCAATGAATTTGGCAATGCTATGTCTGTGCTGCTCAGTATGGTAGCCACTAGTCACGTGCTCGGCCCCTTGAACACTCTGTCAACTGTGGCAGTGCAAACTCGCAAGAAACTCCGAATTCAATCTTGACTACTTGTAATTAAATCAATGGCCGCCCATGTGTTCAGGGCTACCACACTCCGACCACTGCAGCTCTTAATGGTTGGGCCTGAAACCACAGAGGCCTCACAAAAGGGGTTGTGCAGCGACAAGCTTACCTCCTAAGAATCAGTACAGTTATCTATTCTACACCAAGGTAGCTCTGCCAGAAATTAATTTTTAATGCCCAAATAAATGAATGTGTCAACTGGCATGGTGCTGGGAATTCCCACCCATACACATTTCTTAAGAGTTGAGGCACATTTCCTCTCCCTGTAAAAATGCAAAAATCGTTCTCGACTGACATCTACCATGTATAATCACACTCAGCACCCTCATACCTTACCTAAGATTCAGATTCTGGCAGAGTGGGACACAGGCTAGCCAGTCTAGGGGAGAAAAAGGATGGAAGAGTCCAAGGCACTGGGCGACCAGGGAGATCAGGCCAAGACTATGGTAATTCGGAGAATGAAGAGCACAGAAGTGCAATAATAGGAATATCTGCCTGAACTCTCTCTTCCGAAAAAGACTAAAATGCCACAAATAGGTACATTCCTATCCTGGTATTGATCTTCTCCCATCACTGAGATATGACAGAATAAGCTTCTGGCCAACTGCAGGGATAAATTACACTTAAGATCCTGGTGAATTATTAAAGGGAAGCCTTTAATCTCAGTTTTACAGGGTGCAGCAAAACAACTTAAAGCAGCCACTGTAATGCCTCTACTAAATGCAGTAGAACGTCCCACTCCATCCTTTCTATAAAAACAGATATCCGTACACATACAAATGTAATACATCACCCCAAAGAGGATTAATTTATTTTTTTTAAAGTGAAATTAAAGGTTTAATCATTTTAGCCTTACATTAGGTGGATGATGTAGCCAGGTGCAAATTCAATCACATCCTAAGAGAAGAGCCCATATTTTGCATTCAAATTGCTGCTGCAACTTGTATATGGGGAATTATTGTAACAGCAGCCTCTTCATCTCCTGTAACCAAATCCGCTGTCTTCTATGAAGACCACATGATAGAAGATTGTAAAAAATATTTCTCTTCTCAGCATTCATAAGGGGTGGGGGGAAGGATCAGAGTGTGGGTAATGACTCTCACCTAGAGGACAAGGCAGTCAAGGACATATTTTAATAAGAAATTGTGTCCTCCAGTTTCTATATCCAAATGTCAGTTGTGCCAGAAAACCTAACATAAATAGATTTATGTATTGAAGTGCAAAGGAAAAAATAGTGCATATTGCAACAATCATTGAATGGACACAGAACAACAGATGCAAACAACATGGATTGGATCACTCTGCTTCACAAAAATAACCCCATTTCTCTTTACAAAACAGACATATTGCTTTTAAAATTCTCAAACAACCTAAGGAGAGAGACACAGGTCCCAGGACTTGCCCAGTGATTCTCTCTGCCAAGCCATTTGCATTCCTGCAAGGAGATCTTCTAGACCCCCAAAACATTATCTGTTCTCTCTCAACCTGCCCAACTCCCCCAGATAAACCTTCAGTGAGAGGCAGGGCAGGGGCTGGCATTGCCAGGAAGGATTATGAAAGAAGAAGAAGGACCTTACCACTTCTGGGAGCAGCCTAGTTGAGAGGTCATGGATGGCTTTGACCACTATACATATGGAGGACAGAAGGAATATCACCCCCAAGATGACACAGGCTCTGCAAAAAACAAAACATTGAGAATCTTAACTGGGAGAGATCCACACTGCCGAAGCATCAGCACAGTCAACAGTGACAAGGACACAACATGGGAGTGGACTCAACTGAAAGCTGCCACACCCCCAGGGTGACCACCCACAGTCCCAGGATTGATGCTAAGTCACCTCTAGGAAAATACATTTCAAGGTGTTATCACCAAAGTCAACCTCATGGGAAGGAGCCTCACCAGCCTGCATAACCTCACAGCATCCCATGAATACTGTTATGGAAGGGTCTTCAAGGCCATGAAATCCACACCCCCCCCATACACACACACCTGGCAAACACAATGTTTCATTCCTGCTCAAGCTGGAAGGTGCAGAGGTTAATAGCAAAGAGTAGACGGTGCAGCATGAGACATGCCAAGCTCTACCGTTTAACGTGATGCATGATCTTGATCAAGGAACTGAACTTCTCTTAGCCTCAATTTCCTCATCTTTTAAATGGGAATAATATTTCCCACCTAAAGATGACATAAGATGATACCCAAAGCATTAATGTTGCATAAACAAAGTACAAGTCTACTCTGGGTATCTCTTTTGGATATGGCATGACAGACACCTTTGGATTTTCCCAAAGATAAAAAGGAGGAGTGATTAGGTAATGACAAAAGACAGTTCATGGAAGGATGGAGAGATTATAAAGAGAAGAAATGAGGGTAAAGAAGGAAGGATGAGGTCACCCAAGACACCCAGCACAGGAGGCAGTGGGAGCAGGTTGGGGACGAGGCTAGAGGTGAAACAGGTGGCTACATGGCTGGGGACGGGAGCTGGGGGCAGGTAAGGAAGTCTGTGGGACTTGGGGCACAGGAAAAGCCCTCTGACAACCCAGACACAACAACTCTCAGGAGAAAGATAGATGGAAAATGTAGGGAAACATGAGGATACTAATACAGCGGTCAAACTACCAAATGAAAATGAAGAGGGAGCGAAAGAAGAATACAAGAATGACCACAGTCCCAGCCTGACACTTCCACCACTTGGCAGCTTCCTCAGCCTTCTTCCCCAGGTAGCAAATGAAGTCACTTTTCATCATCCAGCCTGGATTCCTTTCTCTGGACTAACAGCATGGCTCCAAATTGTGCCCCTAACTCGAGTGGCCCCTGCTCATACACCCATGGAGAGAAACGACCCCCCAGATTCATAAGTCAGGACTACAAGCAGGGAAACAAGGCTGCTTGGAGTCCACTCAGTAGACTTCTGATCCACACTCTGCTCACAGGTTTTACCTTTTCAAAAACACAAAGAAGGAACCGTTGCAGGTTGGGGCAAAACACAAAAAAGAACAGAGATGGAGGGAAAGGAATGAATGGGTTAGGGACCTTCGCACAAACTGGAGAAAATGAACATACATATGGATGACAGAAGGAATATCACCCCCAAGATGACACACACTCTGCAAAAAAAAATAAAACATTGAGAATCTTAATGGGGAGAGCTTTACGTGGCCAAAGAGTTGGCACAATCAACAGTGACAAGGGCACAGCCTGGGAGAGGATCAACTGTAAGCTGCCACACCCCCAGGGTGACCACCCACAGTCCCAGGGCTGACATTAAGTGACCTTTAGGAGAATACAGTTCAGGGTTTTATCACCAAAGCAAACCTCCGGGGAAAGAGACTCACCCCCTTGAGTAACCTCACAGCATCCCATCCGCGCTGCACTGTGAGCTGTGTGGCACTGTGATCCTATAATTCTGGAAATAAGTACATGCTGCCACAGCTAATAGGGCACAGTGCACCTGGGGCAGGTAACCACAGTATGGAGAAGACAGTCAGGGACAAAGGGGGCCACAGCTGGGAGAGAGTCATGGGGGAGTGAGGTATACCTATTGGAGGGCCCTTAGGTGACCACATACTGGAGCAAGAGTGGGTGTCCCAGGGATATGGGAATTGATGCTTCCAAAGTAACTGGCTCCTCTGAGTACCAGCTGTGCGGGCTGGAAGACAGCTATGGGCCGGCTGCACTTGGAGTAACCATTTCTACCTGTGAGCAAATGAGCCACAAGAGGTCCCACTGCAGGAAGAGAGCCTAAAGTCAGGATAGGCCTCCACAGTAAGTTTTACACTAGTAGTTTATAAGTAAGTAGTTTATTAGTTTATTAGTAGTTTATTTTCTCCATTCACAAACCGCCTGAGTGACTCACAGAGACTATCTATCTCTTTGATTCACCCTTTTAGGTAAATTCAGCCACCAACTCAGCACTTCCCAGTCCTGACAGCACTCTGTACCCACCTGGGGAATTTTGTTTTTAAAGTTGCCTGGGGACCACTCCAGTTCAATTTTATCAGACTCTCCAGGGGGGTGTGTGTGAACCCAGGCCTCCCTATTTGTTTAAAAGCTCCCCAGGCAGTTCTGATGTGCCAGGTTTGAAAATGTCTGGCCTAGACCCAGGCAAGGGCCTGTCCCTAGGAAGCATCTCCTATGGGGTAAAAGCCGGAAGAGAGGCAGGGAGGGAAGGGACGGCTCGGCTGGGGAGGAGGGAATGGGTCCCTAAGAGGCCCTTACTGCATTTGTTCACTGACCAGCTTTCTCTCCCTGAAAAACGAGTGGGACAGCCATCACTTGTGTGCTAGATGCTACAGGCAATTTGTCACAGCATCCTCAAGGGAGCTTCTGGTCTCCATACTACCCTGGGGGACAAAGGGAGCAAATGTCGGCGCTTCCTGTGCGTCTCTCGGACAGGGAACGTGGTGAGGCTGCAGGACTGCACCTTCTCCAGATCGCCGCAGGCATGCCGCAGTAACGCACAAAAGGGGTTTACGTTCCCAGGGAAGTAAGTGCAAAGGGTGCAATGGCCTCCAGGGGAAATCCAGTTGCATAGGCAATAGGCTTCCCAGGCCAAACTGAAATGACCGCCGGCGTGTGTTCCGCCAGCCTTCCGGGGAGGCGCGAGTCAGTACACTTACGTAGTGTTATCTCCCAGGTGAGCCCATGGGATCATGCTTTCCCATGGCATGTTGCCACTATCGCTTTGAACCTATGTAAGTGCTTGCCATGTTCTCAGCCATGCTCTGGCAGCGGCTGCATCCCCCGCGACAATAAAGAACACGTGCCCATCTCTTCTTTCAACTCCGGCAAGCCTGCCCGGTGCACTCGCTAGCCATGGAGCCCACTCCCCACATGGCCTTGTCATGTGACTTTGTGCTTACATATCTTTAATCAAAACTTCACTATAAACTGCTAAGGGCAAGACCTTACTTTTTTATTTCTGTGTCTATAATAGCAAGAAGCAGGTGCTCCAGTGCACGTGAAGAACAGATATAGTCATCAACCAATTAAGTAAACACCAACTGATTCTTTAAGTTTCATCCTGCAGAATCTAAGGTGGCACCAGCCCTTCTTTCCTGGAAGGAGGAAAAAACACCTCAGCCAGATTCCCATGGAATAGCCCACATTGTAAAGCAATGCTGAAATACATTGGAAATCAAAAGAAATTTGTGATTTGATTTATTAAAGTTGAATATCACAGAACCATAGCCCTATTTTTCTCACCACTATACCTACGGATATGCTCAAAAATATTTTAAAAGCTCATTTTCACCTTCTTTTAAGTGTGTTGCAAATTCAAAAACCACAGTCACCCTTCCTTCAACCCTGCTGGGAGCCTGTGTGTTCGAGCCGCTCCGCCAGCCTACAGCAGCTATTATTAGCAGAAGGTGCAATGCTATTTTTTAACACTTTATTAATAATATATTTATTGTGTTTACACAGCAGCTTTCTCCTCAGGCACTCAGAGTTCCAGAAATCAGCTCATCAGTCCCCAGGAGGCCACTCACCAGACCCAGGCGTTTGTTTCTCTGCTACCGGTGTGGACAGAGATAGGGACAGGTGTGTGTCATCAACACGAGTGGTCAAAATGGGAGGAGTCAAGGATTAGGAGCCTTGCCCAAGGTCACCCAAGGTCACCCAAGGAGGGTGAACTCCACCCAGAAATAGAACTCCACTCAGGTGACTCCGTCCCAGCGGCCAGCCCCGTCAACCATTCGGCCAGTCTGGGCAGTCACATGCTCACACCCCCACAGACACCCTGGGACGGCGGAGGTCTCCAAGATGCAGTGAAGACTTGAGTCAGGAGCAAACACTCTGCACCTGCAAGTGTGAGCTGCCACCAGGTGGGGGGGGCTGGAGGGGGTGGTGGCGGTGGCCAAGGGTGACTGCCCCGCCAGCTCTCCATGGCCTCCACCTGGAGAGGGCTGTGCGGAGCCAGGTCAACAGAAAGAACGTAGACTCCTCCTCCCTCCTGTCCAAACCCCGGAAGGAGAGAACTTTAATGAGTCAGAAGGAGGCAAATGAACCACCCCTCCTCCAAGGTATCCTCCCATCAACTTAGGCTGAAACAGAACTGAAATTCCCATGGGACCAGTGGTCGTCTCCCTCCATTTGTGCTCTAATAGGCCCTCCAGGTGGTTCCAATGCACACTCACGTTTAAGAACCACTGAATTCAGACACATTCAACGTCTGAAAGAAAGCTAGTAGAATCCAAACAAATGGTTAAAGCCACTTTAAAGAAATGAGTAGAATTGGTTAAAGCCACTCCCCACCCCTTCCCCTAAAAGCTACAAATCACTGATTGTGCACAGCACTGTAGATATCTGAAAAACCTAGAAGCAAGCACTCATTTTTGCCTCTGAAACTACAAGGGCAAAACCTACTGACAGACATTCACATCCAAAATGATGTCAGCTTGGAAGTTTGGTCCTTGACACTTGTCAGTTTAAAGGCCTGTGGCTCACATTAATAAAGCCAGAGCCCTAGCATACTGATTCTAAGTTTCTCCCATCAGCCCAAAAAACCAAACCAGAGAAATTTCTCCAATCCCCCTTCTAATTTACGACAGACCTAACACACAGAGTCACCCTATGATTAACTCAGTCAGTCCAAGAGTTTAAAGTGTAATGTATTATTTATCATCTTTCATTCTGGTCTCCAAAGCGTTTGTAATCTGGGACGCTGTTCAAA